TCGACAGATATCCCTTCCAATTTACAGACTTTCCTCGGACAGTTGTTATACAAAAATGACCCCGAGAAGGAAGCCGAAAATCGAGGTACAAGGGATTCCATCGCTCATACCATCGTATCAGCGCTTCGCCCCAGAGGGTTCATATCAAATTTGCAGCTGGCAATCGGTACATACATTCATAGAAAAACTGGCTCAAAATTAGTTATTGATCTATTGTCTAAATTAGGAGTGTGTGCTACTTATCATAATATAAAACTGTTCGAGTTGAGCACCATCATGGATCCCCCCAAGATGAATGTGGAGGAGAATACATTCGTGCAGTTCGTATTTGACAATACGGATCATAACGTTTCAACCCTGGACGGACGTGAAACATTCCATTGCTTAGGAGGAATCGCAGTCTATACTCCAGCAGAAAATATTTCATATGAAGGAGGTTCCAAGAAATTGAAAAAAATGCCTACAACAGGAGTTGTAGCATCTCAAAAAAGAATTCCTATTATTCCATATGAAGCTCCCAATCAGGGTGGAATGAAAGATTTCACTTATTCGTCCGTCTATTCCCTTCGTCTCGGTGAAGCTCCATTAATCCCATGTACATATGCAACGTATATTTGGGGAAAATATTTTAATTGTGTGCAACTACCATCGTGGAAGGGATTTATAGAAGTGTTAGCAGATGATGAATCTTTCAGTAAAAGAGAATCCTCTATAGTCTGTTTGTCTTTTATAAATGCCCCCCCATCGAATTTAACAACTCTCCATACAGCACTAAAACATTCAAAGGCTGAGACTGAAAATATTAATCAAAAGACCACTTTCCTCACTTTCGATCAACCTTTGTACTGGAAAACGAGAACAGTCGTTTCAAACCTGGCAAATTCATCGATGAAAAATGTAGTTGTTCTACTCGGTATTTTTCATTTGCTCATGTCACTGATGGGGGCAATAGGATACACGATGCAAGGAAGTGGCCTTGAAGACTTATGGTCCGTTATTTACGCACCAGAATCTGTAAAAAAAATGATGACTGGACATGCATTTTCGCGAGCCTTACGGGCGCATATCCTGACATTCACAGCTTTGGGAATGAAAATCTGCAGCTCTATCGATGCACCTCAAAGATGGAAAGATTCCATGCACGAATTCTTCCAGGATTGGCAGTCTAAAACACGCGGTGACTGTAACACTGCGACAGAAATTAGGGAAATGACGAAAGCTTTCGAGAACCAACTAAGAATCCTCGAAAAGAATGGTCCTACCAGTAAATTATGATTTCAGTATTTCAAATCTGTAGTCATTCTATTACAAATGATCGAGGCCGAAAGATTAGGAGATTGGGAGCTTCATTTGCAATCTGTCAGGAACTCTATACCACTTTTCCATGCTGCTGGCCACCATGCTTATGCAAAAACTGCTCAGGTGTATCTTCAGGATATGGCTGACTTAGAGTTGCATATGGATCCTCAGGAGTACGACGCTTTCACGAAGGGGGGGTATTTTACTATCCGTCGAACGGACAAAGCGTGGGCGGGAGTATCCAGAGACATGGTCATTGAGCAAACGCTTAATCGATTCTTTGGCACAGACTTGAAACACGGGAGAGGGGTCACGCCCAGTGTAGTGACACGTTATCTACTTGCCATGCCAGCTGCATTCACGATAATGGAAGAATTAGAGGAATATTGTGGAATAAGAAGTACCAACAGTGAACAACATGTCGATCTCAAGCCGAGTAGGATCACACGTGATGAGCAAGATATTGAGAAATTAATGTTCTGGCTAGATTCTCATAATCCTTTCGATAGTCGTAGCTCATTGGTATCGTTGTCATCTGGTGTGATTGGTGGGCCTTCGATCAATTGCCACATGGCATTTGAAAAAGGTGAGCAATCCATGGCAACTATGATCGGAAAAACTCCTGAGAAAGTTTCTATATCCAGATCCTTCAAAGTGAAGAATCTGACATCAGCAGCAAAGGGGATTCATTTGAGTTCAGAAAATACAACCGTCAAGATTAACACTCAACTATTATTCCAGAAAATTTCAGTTCTTTTCAGTGGAAATGCCGAAATGACAAGAAAAGCTTTGAATTACGAACTTTCACCCGTTCCGTTGAGTCTTTTTGATGAAAAAGGATGGATGAGAAAGAGTGCCAAGTCAGAACTCTATACTTTATTTAGCTCTGCCATTTCGAGTCAGTCATTTTTAGCTGATTGTCAGTTCGTCATCGATGGTGGCTGGCTGCTGAGACAGATCACCTGGCCTCATGGGAAAACGTTCTCAGAAATTTTCCAATTGTATCGATCGTACATAGTGAAATACTTCCGAGATGATACTATAATTATTTTTGATGGCTATAAAAATGATGTCATAGGGGTGAAATCCTATGAGAGGTTACGTAGAAACGAGAAATTCGTGGCTGCTGATGTTAACATTGGACCGGAAAAAATGATCACCTCAACAAAAGACAAATTTCTTTCCAATGTAGTGAATAAGTTCAAATTAGTCAAGTTACTCGCTGAATATTTGACGAGTGAGAATATATCCACTAAAATTGCTGAAGAAGATGCTGATGCATTGATTGTCCATACTGCAATTGAGATGCAAAGTGGTAGACAATGTACAGATAAACCGATTGTAGTGGTTGGTAACGACGTCGATCTCTTCGTTCTACTCATCGGACTCACTCCAATCGACGAAACCATCTATTTCTACAAAATTACCAGCACCGGGAAGAAGCAGAAAATACTGTATTCAACCAGGGATCATAAACATATGAGGCCTTTCATTCTATTCGCTCATGCACTCGTTGGCTGTGATTCAACGAGTGCCCTATTTGGAAAAGGGAAAAAAACTGTCATGACATTATTACAGAAGAATGAAAGTATTTGTCAATCGATATCAGTCTTTTATAATCAAGACCGTACGCTTGATGAACTTTACCCAGTTGCAGAGAACATAGTGAAACGTCTATACGTGAAAGATGAAGACGCCCTACTGCCCATTAATGAATTGAGATACAAAATGTTTATCTCCTCAATAGCCGGTGCCAAGAAAGACGTACTCACTACCCTCCCACCTACACAAGCAGCTCTGATGGAGCATGTGAAGAGGGTTTACTTCCAAGTACAGCAATGGCTACTTCACAAACTGGACCCGCTACAATGGGGTTGGGAACGGCCAAAAATGTTGAACAACGTTTTGGTACCAAAAAAAACGACTCAAAACGCTGCTCCAGATGATTTGCTTGCTATGGTAAGTTGAGTTATGGACAATTCGAATGGAAATGAGCTTTTCTTCACTCATTTCACTCATCTAACTCATCGGACTCTTCTCACTCGTATGACCCATTGCACTCTTCTCACTCATCTCACCCATCGAATTTATCTCACTCATCTCACCCATCGAATTTATCTCACTCATCTGATAAAACAATTTTCGTCACACTCACAGTAAAATTGCGGTTTTACGGACACTTCGTGATCGTCAAACGCGATTTACTGACAGTGTGAAGCAAGATGACGTTCACCGCTAGGCCCAAAAAACTTGTCTTGTATTGCCCCTCACCTGTCCTCGGCTGGAAATTGGTATTTCATACTTCCCAAACTCGGAAAAGTCAAAATCACTACATAAAAATCTTGTCCCGGACTGGTGCGATGGGGTTTTTTTACTCGTGTGGTTGGCCAGTCCTCGCCTTCGGCCCCATCGTACCAGTCCGGAAAATATCTATTCTGACTCATGTGATTACAGTTCTCGGCTTCGCCTCATATCCATCAGATTTTTTTTTGTACTACTATTCTGAATCGTTTTGTATTATGAAAATATAGAAAATAATTTTCAGGTATCTTGTAAATGTGCGAGGAGTAAGTGCAACACGGCTGTATGTGTTTGCAAAAAAGCTGGGCTAAATTGCAGTCAACTATGCAAATACTGTGATGATGATGATGATAATTGTCTGAATCAACCTGTCGCGAATTCCGATGAACCGGCAGAGGAGGAGACAGATGTTGAAGCTGACACAGATGAAGAAATTCAGCCTGTTCGGAGAGAAAACATCTACAGATATGATTCCGATGATGAAGAGGAAGAAGAAAACGAAGAAGAAAGAGATGAAGATGACGGCGATGATGAGTTCGAAACGATTGATTTCGATTATTATTGATATCTGTAATGAAAAATTCCCCATTAAATGCTGTTTATGATTTCCAACTCATGAGTGAATTATTGAAATAATTACCACCTGGAAAAAATCAATTACAATCATTCTATGCCTTTAAAATTTATATAAATATGTATGTATTGTGACGTAATTTCCTAAGGTTCACGGAACCCTCAGTCCACTACGTAGCCCTTCGACGTACGACCACCCTGAAACAGCAAATAAGTCGAGCGCCAGGTCGTTATTACCAGAACGACCACTGGAATGAAACGAATAACCAAAAAAACAGAGGTTCCGAAATAATCCCAAGCTTCGAAACGGTCTCCTGCTAGCTCCGACCGAAGAACGGCGTGAAGGTCACTGGTGAAGCTTAGGTTAAAGTATGACTAGGTCCTGACTAAAATAAATAAAATTAACTCAAGATTGCGGGGGAAAATCACAATGTTTAATACGACTTAGCTGACTCGATACAAATAAAATGACTCAATTTCTCTGGAAAACCCCCTTTGGTTGTTTCGATCGATCAACGATCATGAGGCTCCAATAGTACTGATTCTACATTTGTCGAAGGGATAAGAGATTCTGATAGAAAACGAGAGTAGTAGTCAATTTAGTCAAAAGAGATA